GTGGCCAACATCTAGGAGATAAATAATAAATATATTATTATTTGATAATATAATAAGTATATTATTACTTGACGAATGAGTACATCAAAGCATTCCCTAAGAGGAGTTTTAGTACCAACTGGAAAAGCAGCATTTATTGTAAATATAGTTTTCTCACTCCACGACATATTTTAAATGGATTTATGAAAATGATAATAGATTCTTAAGCAGACAGTAATGTTTTACCAAAATCATATTTTAAACATGTTATATGCTACTTGACATTTATATTACTTCCCTTAAACAGAGCACTTGCTACAAATTCACTGATCATTTTGTTTTTCATTGCTTTTGTTTCACTTTTTCTTTGCCCTGGAGATTGCTGTTGTGCTAGATGTAGGCATATTCCACAAACTTCATTTAAAAATTAATAAATGTGTTTAATTGGAAAATAAGAACTGCTATGTTTTCATGGGTGGGAAGAAACTTCCTGGCTAACCCTTATCCTCAGATTCTTTTTCTTTAATGTCACTCTCTGTAGAATTGCTTGATCAACGAAAGCATGTGTCCTGATGAAAACAGACTGTTCTTCAAAGAACAAATTAGGGACTTTCAGTCCTGGAGGTAAAACACTGTGAGTTCATCATGCATCGCCGTAAAACAAATGTGTTATGTGCCTGGCAACTCTGCCACACAATCAACAGGAAGCCTGAAATGCTAAGACGGGCTGATTTGCACATTTTCATCAGGTAGTTGCAAATGCAATCAAAATAAGCCAATAGGATTTAAGACTTCTTGCCATGACTCAGCCTCTTGGAACTAAAAAAATATATTTTAACAAATCATTTATACGGGGGAGGGGCATTAAATGAATGTTGAATTTTAAAAACCATTTTAAATTCCAAGTTCTGTTTGACGGTACCAGTGTACTTTAATAAGAACAACCTCTCAAAGAACAGCATGGTGTAATGCACAAAGCAGAAGAATTGCAGACGCTTCTTAAACCCCTCTTAGGTCTTTCTCTCACTTCCTCTCTCCTTTTCTTTATCATTTTTCCTACACTTTTGTTTTCAGTCTTTTCTTTTCTCTCCCTCATTCTCTTTGCTCTTAGTCTCCAGTTCAAACTTTGTCCACAGTGAATGCTTGCTTATGGAAAAGAGTTAAAGTAGGATAAGTACTGATTTCTTGGTAAATAATTTTTATTCATTCAACAAATACTTTTTTCAGCAACCGTTGTATGTTAAGAGCACTCTATTAAGCATAGACATAATTTTTAGTAACCCATTGTTCTTAAAAGGAATTATTGAAGTGACTGTCTCCCAAATAAAGTTCTGTTATGTGAGCAAAATGCACAACAAAAATCCATAATTCGATCTTTTCACTAAATTTTGTATGCTTATGTGAATGGTGAGAACCCACCCCTGTAAATTTAATGATTTTAGAATGGCTGTATGAAAAGATGGAAATTCATAACAGGTTCTGTTTTTTATAAAATATGGATCAGAAGATTTAAAAACTGATGATTAATTTATCTGAATCGGTGTTAACATAGTCTCAGCTTTACACCTCAATTTAAGTCTTCATTAATGAAGTACTCTAGATGTTTTATACAGAATCAAATGTGTTCTTGTTTTGTGAATCAGTCTTATACATAAGAACTTCACACGCTTTGTTTGTGTGTGCTTTGGATTGCCAAGACATCATACACTAAACCTTAGCCACAACACTGAAAAGATATATACTATTTCTATTTGTATAGTCAGCTCATAATCAACAAATATCACCCCTATGTTCCTCTAAGTGTTATACTCATTCAGCACCCTGAGTGAAATCCCTAGGAATGCTATGCTATAAATTCATCTACCAGGGACCAATATGAAAAATAAGCTCTTACTGTAGATTATGTCTTGGAATAAAGTAATTGATTAATAAATGAAGTTGTGAATTCAATTGCACTATGGGTTTAATTGTGTTCTCTCTAAATTCATATGTTGAAGTCCTGATTCCCGGTACTTCAGAATGTGCCCTTATTTAGAAGTAGGGTCTTTGCTTATGTAATTAATTAAGATGAGGTCATACTATAATTGGGTGGACCTCTAATCCAGTATGACTGGTATCCATATGAAAAGGGGAAATGTGGATACAGACAGACACTCAAATAGAAGAAAGTTAAGTAAAAATTGGAGTCATGCTGCCACAAGACAAAGAACTATCAGAAGTTAGAAAAGGCCTGAACAGAGCCTTAACTAGGATTTTCAGAGGGAGCATGGCCCTGTGAACACAATGATTTCAACTTCTGCCTCCATAACTTAGAGACGATAAATTTTTGTTGTTTAAGCCACTCAGTTTGTGGTACTTTCTTATGGCAGTCCTAAGACACTAATACAGTTATTATTTGAGTTACCTATTTTGTTAAGTGAAAAAGGTAAAATAATACAGTGAGAAGTGTACAGTATCCTTCACCAGCTGTCAAATCAGGAAACTTCCATGATTTTATATCCTCTCAGGAATACTGCTGGGAAACAGGGATGAGATAAGGATTTGAACCTACTAATTTAAGAATAAATCAGGGTCCTATCATTGGATGTCTTGAGGGAATTTAGATTGGTAATTTATCTCCAGCAGATGAAAAATGATAAAAGCATTCAAGGTGGGTCCATTAAGCCTGAAACCAAAATGCTTCAGCAAAGTTTATGAATACCCTCCAGAATCTTTGTGTGTTCTAATCTCTATTTATGCTGCAGAAGTAGCTATAAGATAAATAAAATCTCGAGCAGCCAGGTTCTTATTGATTATGCATCAGCAGAGGCTGGAAGGTTATATTTGTTCTCCCAAGTGGATTGTGAGAGCCTCGTTCTGACAACACGCCTGTGCACAGCTAAATGAATGAAGCTTCTTAAAAAGTTGACAATACAAAAAAGAGATGCAGTGCCACATTTAAGGGTCTGAGAACACATCTTTGAACACGAAATACAACAAAAACCTAAGTCGCCAACATCTTCCACTAACTATGTATGGAAACAATACGCAAGCAACTACAGGGTCTTAAGAGAAGATAATAGAGAATGAAACAGCAGAACAGAGAAAAATGTGGAAATTTAATGAGCTACATTAATAAAAGTATTGCTTTGTGGGAAAATCTGACACTTCTGGATTTTAACCACAATACCAAATTGATCTTGGAACATGTATGTATAAGATTAATGCAATGATAATGCCTTTAATCTTAAACGTGCCAGTTGCTTTTCTAAGCACTTAATATATTATATCATTTGATATTTACACATACCTTTTTAGTTAGAGTCTCTGATTATTTCATTTTACAGATAGGTAAACTGAAACCTAGAGAAGTTTAATATCATTCCTAGGGCCAAACGGCTATCTAGCTGGTTAGATATGACTCCCAAACCAGTGCTCTGTACTATAGCTCTGAGACAACAGAATGCTCCTTTCAAAAGTGGCCATTTTTCCATAAAATAAAAAGAACATATTTAGTGCCTGCAGTAATTTCTTTAGCCCTACCAAGTGATTAATCTCTGTAATAGCGGTATACTAAAGAATTTGCATTTTTTGCCTAAAATCACCTAAAGGTCAAAAACTTGATCTCTATTTGACAAAGGAGAATGTCTGTCTTAACATTGTTATTCATTACCATTGGGAAAAAATAGAAAAATTCTCTAATTCATGGAAGATAGTGACTATGAAGCATACTTTGGAAACATCTTCCTGTAATGCATGCTGTCTCTACAGGTAAGAGCTTTGGCTTTCCTGTCTCCCTGGGAGGGGAAGGGAAGGTCTGGAGAGTAGTTGCTGTGAGTCATTTTTTATGTATATCTGATGAAGCTTTATTTTTTGGTTGCCAAAAACTAAATGGTCTTACTGAGGAACTACTGCCAACTTGGACACCTGTCATGGTTTACTTTCCTTGGTATTATTAGACACGGTGCTATAACCAATCTGTTTCAACAGTGCCTACTGCAACCCATTTCTGCTATGATCCCTGATCTTAATGAACTGTACATAGCCTTGCTTTTGCTTGTTTTAAGAGGGGGGAAAATCCCTTAAAACAAATGGGAAGATGATGTTAGCATTTTGAATTAATCCTTTTACTTTAAACATGTGTTTTCTCAAAATGTCCTCAAAAACAAGTGGGAATGAAAGCATGCATGAAATCCAAATATATGTCCAGAGACAGGAAGTTAGAAAGCCAAGTGTTTCCTGCACTTTGCCCATCCATGGGTCACCTTTAAGATGCTTGCTATATCTGCATACCACAAATATTATTGTTTACTGCGTATTTTTAAAAATTAATTACTTATTTTCCTTCAACATCCTAAGCAACGATATCCTTAAAATCCATAGGTTTTTATATACAAGTTACGTACATTAAATGGTAAAATGGGTCAAATATGTGGTGACAGAAAGAACTCTAACTATGGGAGGTGAACACACAGTGTAAATATATATATGCCTTACTGTTAAAATGTATAGCTAAAACTTACTAGATTTCGTTAACCAATGTCACCATAAAAAATAAACTAAAAAAAACAAAACAAAACAGTATTCAACTCCATGCCACTTAATGTCATTTGCATCACAATTTTAACTCATTCACTGCCAACAAAATAATAGCTAGCCTCCTTATTCTACCCAATCCTTTACCCCACACCACAACCAGTTGGAAAACAAGTTAAAAGAAGAGCTTATTTCAGAACTCAGATCTCCCAACTGCCTGTTCAGTTATTTCTATATCCTGTGAGTCTTGTGCAGTCTCATTAGTTTTTTCGACATTCTGAAGAAATTAACCCTGAATTCTTGCTTTCCTTTATGTCTCTACCCTCTCTTGTGACAATCTTTACAAAAGACTGTCTAAAGAACCTATCACCATCATGGCTGCTTTCTCTACAAACCTCCTAACACCCTCCCTCACCACCCCCCCAGAGATATGTCCTGCAGGATAAATGATCTTCTCTGCCTTTTTTCCAGAAACAATTTCTCCCACATGACTAACAGTGTGCCATAACAATGCAGCTGTGCAACTGAAATACTGGAACTTTTTTGTCATGCCTTTTCCAGTAAGATGTTACTGTTCTTTGAGTCAGAGTTATTATTCTTTTGGTCAGCACTTCCTTACAGGTCTCATTTTTGTCACCAAAGTCTGTGCTGGGCAATAGTTGCTCATGGTAAGTAGATGGGCTATTAAGTTTGACAGGTCTAGGTTCAAATCTGTTTCTCAAAATGTCAGTGAAAAAGTGGAATGTCATTAAAAGAATAACAAAATTAGTCTGTAAAAACAGACCAGAAAAGTTTTGAGGAAGAGGGATGAGTGAAAACTGATCTGGTAGAAGACACACACACAAAAAGTAGAGACGTAAGTTAAAAGAGAAGCCAAGGATCAAGCATATTTGTAATGTAAAACCCTAGACAAGCTCAGGAATTGAGAGTCCCGGCAAAAGTGGGTCTGGAACGATTGGATGAGAGTCTGAGTAAGTAGCCACTAGACTGTTACATGTCTGCCCACTTTTTCTGCAGCTGGGCGACTGCATTGGCCTACCATTCGCTCCAGTCACAGAAGTCCGGAAAGCAGAACTGAAACCAGAAGGACAGAAAGAGCTGCCCACTGAATGGTGAGTCACCGGGCACCCACCTTCTCATGTTTGACTCAGAATCTGGCAGCTAGGCTTATACCTCCCAGGCAGGGGATTAAATGAGTCCTTTGTGGGAAACTTACCATTCCGACAAATGGGGCACCTGGAATGCAACTGAACAGTCAGATCCCCATATAATGAAGCCCACAAGGTGACAAGTCAAGTCTGGGAAAGCAGAGAGTCTAAATATGCTTTCTAGACCCTTAAGTTTAAAAACGCGCAGAGAGTCAGTATGGCCAGATATTTGCAGGAGGCCTCTAACATAAAAGATCAAGACCAAACAGACAAACGCAAATACAAGCAGCAGAGGAAATCATTAAAACATTAAAGAAAGTTATAATTAATATCCTCAGAGAAATAAGATATTGTATTCTTGAAACAAGACTAAAATGCTATTTTTAGGAAAGCAACATCTAAAGTCAATAAGTGTTCACTGGGATTTTTTAAAAAATGTAATAGCAGGAAAGAAAAAAAGTTAATAGAAGGCCTGGAAAATAAGTTGAAGATACTGGTCAGAAATTATTATCTCTAGTTAAAAGAGAAAAGAGAATAGAAGAGAAGATATAAGAAAATAGTATTATTATAACCTTAATGAGTACTAAATGATTCCACAAATGAGTGCTAGAGGATTAGGTAACAGGGTTGGAGGGCTGTGAAGGGAGAGAGGCCAGTTAAAAGTGTAGACAGTGTAGCGAGGGCAGGCCCTTGGGAAAAGGCGGCTTTCAGACAGAGACACGAAGGGAATAGAGGAAGCTCGCATATGTATCTGGGGAAGGCAGTTCCTAGCAGAGGAAACAGCAGGCGGAAAGGCCCTGAATGGGACGTGAGTTTCCTGTGTTGAAGGAAGAGCAAGTAGGTCAATGTGTCTGGAATGGAATCAAAGGGAAGAAGTTGGAGGTAAATGGGACATACCTTGCTGATCTTCTGTGTAGATGTTATGCATCAAGCTTGATTAACTTTTTCTTCCACTAGGATAAGTTTTTCTTCACAAGCTTCCTCATACCTAACAGTGTATAGGTAAATTGTATAGGTAAATAAAATATACCTATGTTACTAATAATGTTGTTAGTAACATTGGTTGATATCAGCTAATTTTACATATTACTCTTGAATTTCTGGCTTCCATCAAACAAGGGATTCTCTGAATTGATATTCCCACTGGCCAAGTGGTTGGAATTGAGTGACATGGCTGTCCTTTGTGCTGAATATATCCCTCCATTTCTGGCTTTTCCTGCTATCTCTAACTCCTGGAACACTTTACTCATTTACATTACACCTACTGTCTCCTGAAGACTTTGAGTTTTCCACCTCTATTCTAGATATATTGACTAGATTAAAATATAAATGTCTCACTTAATAAACTAGAACATTCTATGGCTGCCCACCTCCAGGGTAAGATGGGGAGTCAATTTGACTTGTTTTGAGCACCAGACCCCTTTATCGGTACAGAAATTTATATGGGGGGAAACAACCTCTTGTACTGTTGGCACCACAATGAGATGCCAGCTCATACATTAGAACAGCTATTATCAAAAAGACAAGATCTTACAAGTGTTGGTGAGGATGTAGAGAAAAGGGAGCTCTTATGCACAGTTGGTGAAAATGTAAATTGGTGAAGCCACTATGGAAAACAGTAAGAAGATTTCTCAAAAGATGAAAAATAGTTTTTTTTAACTACCATATGGATCCAGTAATCCAACTTATGTCTATGTACCCAAAGGTAATGAAATCAGGATCTCGAAGAGGTATATACACTCCCATGTTGTTTGCAGCATTATACACAATAGCCAAGATATGGAAACAACCTGTCCATGAATAGATGAATGAATAAAGGAGAAGTGACAGAGTAATGAGAAAGAAGGAAATTCTGCCATTTGCAACAACATTGGATCTTTAGGGCATTACGCCAAGTAAAATAGGTCAGACAGAGAAAGACAAATACTGCATGATATTTATATGTGGAATCTAAAAAAGCCAAACTCGTAGAAATAGAGACCAGGGATTGGGGGGGTGTGTGTGAGAGGGAGGAAATGGGGGAGATGGTGAAAGGGTGCACACTTCCAGGTATAAAATGACTACGTTCGGGGGATCTAATGTTCAGCATGGTGAATATAGTTTATAATACTTTATTCTATACTTGAAAGTTGCTAAGAGAGTAGAATTTAAATGTTCTTACCACAAAAAGAAATAGTAATCAGGTGATATTATGGAGATGTTAATTAATGCTATGGTGGGAACCATTTTGTTGTATATCAAATCAACGTGTCGTACACCTAAAACTAATACAATGTTTTATGTCAATTTTATCTAAATAAATCTGGAAAAATACACCTTAAAATTACAAGAACTTAACATAGACTTATATTTTTTCTTATGAATTCTGGTGCTATTTGTAGGACTCTCTAGAGCAATTATCTTCCACCGAGCTTTTCAGGAATCCCATCTTCCTACAACTAGTGATGCTCCCAGTTCAGCATATGTCTTCTGAGGTAG